AATCCCGGCATCTGGGGAATGTACCGAATAACTTTTAGCACTGTTGGGTTTTCGGTCTTCTTTTCAAACTGGCCCTTGCTCAGCCCAACACTTTGAGCTGCAAACTGTTGGGCGAGTCACCGTGTGACTCGTTCCCTCTATTGACAGACTGGATCTATAAGAGAAACTAACAGGGTGACCACTTGTATACTTGTTGACTGTTGAGGATGCAAACCCACACAGAGACAAAGCTCACATTAAGGCGATCTCAGTGTGTGCTGCTTCTCTCACATGACCAATACGTCCACAAAAGGCAACATGCAGAGCTTAGGTCATAAGCAACATACTGTAGGTAAGTGTCAGAACTCCCCGTACACCTGCTGGTGGAGCTGTAGGGAAATGCAAAACAGTTCTGAAAATTGCAGCTCCCTGTCATCATCATCATCTAAACGGGCAGATTCAATTCCTGCATTGAAATGTGGTTTTCATTCATCTGTCGAACTGCAAAGTCACCCACCGCCTCTGAATTATGCGCTCTCTCTCTCCACCACAGGGCTCTCTCTCCCGAAGGCGAATCAGCGGTGCCTGCCGTGTGCCCTGCGTCCGTGGACAGGACTGCAAGCGGCACGATCGCCATTGCAAACAGAAATGTCAGACCCCGCTTGTCGTCTCGAATCGATTTTAATGTTGCCACCTGAGGCTTCTCAGAGTTCATGTCTTATCTATGTTTGGATATCTCAGTTATGACTCAAAGCTAATTAAATCAGACATATAGAGGAAAAACAATGACAGACTAAAGATAAGAATAACCGTATTCTTTTTTTTTTTTAGAATAAGAATATGACTTAAGCCACAGGGTTATTCTTATTCTACTCTAACAGGACGAGTTGATTCAGTCAAAGGATTATTCATCTTTTGACGAGTTGCAGTGGTTGCCTCCCCAAATGATCTCAGAAGTCATGAACTCTAAACAATGATGGCGGATTTTACCGTGTTCATGGAAACAAAACCGCGTTATACTTCCATGGAAAAGCTGACTTGTTACCTGGTAAAAACCTTTACTACGTTCTCCCAAGAGCGAAACTAACCTCCAGTTTGTGACCACGGTGATCACAGTTCATGTGCAGAAGCTACGTTTGACACCAAGATGAGAGTAGTTGGCATGAACACGTTTATAATGGCCTCATCTTGGTTCTAACGCTAAAAGATGGAGGTGGGAGGGTGTTCGAAAATAAATGGATGGATGGATGGATGGATGGATGGATGGATGGATGGATGGATGGATGGATGGATGGATGGATGGATGGATGGATGGATGGATGGATGGATGGATGCATGGATGGATGGATGGATGGATGGATGGATGGATGGATGGATGGATGGATGAATGAATGGATGGATGGATGGATGGATGGATGGATGGATGGATGGATGGATGGATGGATGGATGGATGGATGATGGATGGACCTCAAATGCACATGAACATCAGGATATACAAGATGATGTAATTTTTTTCTTAAAACCCCTCAGTATTATTGTTATTTACTGAGATGTTGGAGACAATAACGTCCGTTCTTGGAAATCAAGGCAGCGATCTGGGATCTGGCTTCCAGCAGCTTCCTCTTCTCACCCAATGCTTTCTATACATCATTGTTCCAGACTTCTGTTTTGTTGGCATGCACCACACGTTTCTGCTTTCAGTTGCAGTTTGATCATATTAAGGAATCAAAAATAGCTAGTTTCTGCACTGATCGTGTCACATACTCCTTAGTTGCCTTTGTCAAAATAATGACTTACGAGTTGGTGAAGAAACCAACAGTTATAGATGTCGAACATCAAAGAAATCTTTTCAGCCTTCAATCTTTTTCATTCTGGCGCGACCAGCTTGCATTCCTACAGTTCTTAATACATTTTGAAACAAACGACACATTTAACCTGCCTCCCGCAAACTTACTGCTTTTCCAGTTAAACACACGTAAACCGTAGGGTGTGTTTTCAAAATGCAGCGGAACTGCAGGATTTCTCTGGAGGTTTTTGTGGAGTCCCCCGCTTGAAACACCCAAAACACATTTACTGGCATTTTGAAAGAAGAAGTGACACAATACCAGTAAAACAGTTCCAACCAGTGAGTCAGTAGAAAAAAACATAACCAAGAGGGAAGAGAAAGGACATCCTCGGAAACAATTATGGACAAGGCTAACGCACATTAGCATTGCAGAAATATCTAATTTCTTAAGTGAAGCGACACTTGTGTGAACTAACTAGATGTAGAAACGTTAAACATGAATAGCAAAGAAAGGAGGACCGTCACTTAAAGGAACCGATTCTCATGAGCCAAGCCGAGTAAGCATGGTATCTTTTCAATTTAATCATTGTCTTAGCTCATGCAGCTGTTGTGCAATGATGTGGTTTGCACAACTCGCTCAGATCAGATAACTCTTCTAGTAAACCAATGCAACCCAGCAGCTGCTCTCCTCTCCGGACCAGAAATCTCACAGCTGGTAGAAATGCACTTGAAATGCCCAGTTGATGCGTGTGCATCGATGCAGGGGGAGCACAAGAATGTGTGAGTTTCGCTCTGAATGTCACTGCTGTTAGCTTTGCAGTCGGACTAAAATATCACATCACGTAAGCTCTTAACGTTTCACCCCCTGCAGACCACCAGGCAGTGTGACTGGAAGGAAAACCCATACAGCTCCATCATGTGGTCAGAAGCGTAGCTCCGACTTCACCAGAACGCTGAGCGCTCTGAATACCACCGGTTTCGTTCAAGTGCCTCCCACTTCCTCAAAACGTTGCATTAAAAAAAAAGAAGAAAAAAAAGGGTGAAGCTGCAGAGGAGGTGACTCCCACACATCTGTGTAGAGCTTAGCTGGACTGAAGACAGAATGAACTTCAACCTGGAAACTCTCAAAGTCTTATGAGAAACTTTGAAAGTTATTCTTTCTTAGTAACATATCACAGGATTTAAAAAAAAAGAAAATAACTAAAGGAGACATGTTGTGAAACAAAACCAGTATGAATGCTGAATGTATTCAAATCCTGCTAACAAAGTCAACAATCAGAAAATAATGAAAAGGTTGATCCAGTTTTCTTTTGATTTTTGTATCTCCAATTGCAGTTACTCGGGGTGGAGTAGAGCTCATTTAATGATATTTGATGAGAATCGAGTGGCCAGAACTGGAATCAGAACCTCAATGAAATGTAAACGAGGTGACAAAGGGTAAGAGAGAATAATATACAACTAATATGTAACATTTGCGTGAGATTTGAAAACCTTGCTTTTTGTAAACTAATTTTGACCGAAAATCCAAGATGAATGCATAAACACACAGTGGTTAGTTACATGAGTGCACCGCTCTGATCATTAGTCTAAAAACAACTAGGTACAAAGTACGGCTGAATTTGGTGGAGAAGTGAAAGGACCGAGGAGCCATTTTGCCTCTTGACCATTGTAGCGAATTCAAACCATTTCCAGTGTCACCGACATGGAGGCGTTTATGTCAGACAGCTCAAACAGGTTTTGAACAAACGTTTCACAAATCTGTCAGACGTAAGAGAAAACATATTTACAAATGTTAAGGCTGTTTAACATGATAAAAATAGAGTGACACACAGAGAGAGAGAAAGATCAGAGGAAATGCAAAGAAGAAAAAAAACCCAGAAGGCCCCTGGTCAGCATAGATGAGCGTTTTGCACTTCCTCTTGTAGAGAAGTGTCATGTGATTGATAGCAATGTGCTAAAACCGCAGCGAGCGAGTCGAAGTGGTTGAACTGAGCTGCACTTCTGAGCATAAATAAAAGCCACGAGTTTTTAGCATTCAGTCGACTTGACTAAATGCTAAAAACGCTCTTCTGCTTGAATGATCAGAGGAAAAGCTGAGACGTTAATAATGAAGATTTTAATTGAAAATGGTTTCACGTTTTCAGGATCATCCTGGAAATCCTCTGATGGTTTTACAGATGGCTCCAGGAAAGGGAAGCAACAGCGACCCCTGCTGCCAATCTTGCGGTGCTACTGACTTAAAAAAGTAATATTTGTAACAACAAATTGCAGTCATGTAATGAACTGAAAAGTAGAATTAATTTACACAAAAATGGTTGAGCTGTTATATAACGTCCAGATTCAAAGTTTTCAATCTAATTCCTATTATAATATTATTGTTGGCCACTCAGTAGTTCTGTGTTCATACACTGTAAATACCATTTCATTTTCAGACAGTACTTTCGCTTTGTAAACAACCCAGCTTGTACTCACGCACTGTAACAGACAATAAGCATCCAAGTGACAAAAAAATAAATAAATGCAGCACAAATCTCCACTATAGATTCACTTGGTTGCTTTTCCCACCAAGTGCACCAGGTGCCGGTCATCTTCACTCTTGGTAAATTTTTAGTTTTGGTTCATTTGAGAAAGAAAATGAAGAGTCTGCCATTGTTTTACTGTTTTGTAAGGACTGGTTGAAGCGAACAGCTTCAAAAACCGAAAAACCCAAAAGGACAGAAGGTGAGATGCAATGACTTCAGGATCCGGACGCGATCTGAGCATTTTTGAGATCGCACGCCTGAAATATTAAGTCAAGATTTTTTTAAATGATTTTTTTTTGTCTTTCTCCAATGATAGAATGTAATTATTCGTAGTAAATTTCCCTTAAGAACCTTTAAACCGCAGGTGAAGAAAATAGTCATTTATTTTCTATTAATGTGACAACAAGTATTTTTAATGCAGCAATGAGCAAATTTTATTCATCATAAAACCTGAGAAAGATATTAAATATGCAAATGAGCTAAACAGTCTGTTCTTCTCATTTCAAAACCACAAAACAAACTAATAGCAACAAGCAGGCAAAATACTAAGAATGACTCATAATTATGTGATATTTTCTCTTCAAGTTTGGTTTACTATTCAAATTTGTTCAAATGTTTTAAATCTAAGGAAATCCAGCAGGAATGTGGACAATCGTCGTTTCACCTTCCTCACTCTGAGCATGTAGAGACAGTGGAGAGGAAAAACCTCTGTTTAACAGGAAGAACCAGAACCCCAGTCTTTCGGGTTCTGGTTCTTCCTGTTGAAGGAAGAACCGTCTTCCACGACTGACTGTGGTCTGAGAAGAAACTTTTCTGATGGATTTCCTGGGCTCATCTCGTCCACTTGTTCCCCGTTGACTGTCCCGATTGCTGATGGGAACTTAGAGGTGGGACGTTTGCACTTGAAGGAACAAACAAACTGACAGACGATGCTTGGAGTGCATCAGCAGTTTGTAGCTTCTGCTGCATCTGCGGCGCCTCCTGAGTTTTCATACACCAAAGCATCGCCTGTCAGTAATTGAAGCGAACTGTTACATGAAAGTTTGACGGTACGTGGATTTTTATTTTCTTATGATTTGAGCGCAAAAATAGAAAACTGACCCGAGGAGCTGAGGAGTTGAGCTCCAGCTCACTGGGGTCCTGGTCGACTCCTGTAGCGCGTTTCAACCTGGAATGAATAAACAAATAGATAAGTTTCATCTTGTGGAGGAATCATGTTGGAATTGAAAAAAACGTTCAATTTTAATATGAAAAAGAGAGAGTCCTACACACCCGGAACAAAGTACTTCTGTGGAAAAATCAAACCAAACGGGTTAAAGCTTTATCAAATCAACTGTTGGTGAAAGACAAAGTTTCACATGGCGCATCTTACCCTTCAACTTTGGTTCGTACAGCAGCCAGACCAGCACCAGGACAACGAGAAGTCCGACAGCCAACCTGACCCAAAACATGGCGGGAGAAAAACCACATCCTGCAACAATATGGAGGCAGGGAGAAGAACCATCAGGACAGCAACATGTGGCTCTGTACATAAAATACTAAAACCATATTTAGTTTTTTGCATTATTGAAGAAGTTTTAGATATCTTTTCAATGACTGTTTAATGGATGCCTACCAGCACTCTCTCATGACTGCTTTGCTACAACCTGGTTTTAAAACTGATCTGAGAAACTTCATTGTGTCATTTCTGTCTTTGAAACATTGATGACTCTGAAGGCTCAAAATCAGGATATCGGAACCACCACAGTGCGTTCATGAGGATGATTAACAGCACTAAGATCCTCCTCCTGGCTCTGATTGGTTGCTTCTGGTTGGGCTCGGTGCATTTACAGCTTAGGGAGCAGGGGAAAGAGATTGATAATTTCACTGATCATCAACACTGATGATCATTATGTTGAACAAACTGTCTCAACATACTGACAGTTCTAACAAATATAAAAAAAACACATCTAATTTTCATAAAAGTCACATACTGCAGCTTTAAAACCAGTTTGGATTCGTGCAAGTTCACCATGATCTAGTTGCTCTTCAGACAAAAACGACGATAAGTGGGAAATTTTCAGAAGATGGAAAAATAAACTGTACAGTTAATAGATTTTGAAATCCTTCTCTTTTTCACTTTTGACCCCAAAACCTTTTCTGTGCACATCTTCATTATTCGTTCAGATGGGTGCAAAGTGTCGCATTGTTGTTACAAGTCCAGTCAGAAAAAGCATAATGTGAAAGCATTTATCCAACTTAATACCTTCATGTGGAATCACGTGTTCACATTTAACCCAACATGTATTGCAGCCTTCATGTAATAAAGATGTAAACTGTCCCTTGTTATGACCCAAAGAACTGGGACATCGTCCTGTTTTCTCAGAACTTAATAGCTTGATGACTTCCTGTTTTATTTTTCATTGTTGGTCAAACTGGTCTCTATTTTATTTACAAATGTGAACTTAATACACAAACAAGTCAAACAGAAGAATTCATATTTCTGAACATACCGTCAATAGAGCTGCATTTCAGTATTTTGGATGCTGACACCTCACTGATAACATTGGAGGCATTGCAGGTGAATGTGGTGTTGCCATCTTGTGGTGTAATCTTGTATTGCAGTCTGGGCCCGTTTCTGGTTTGGGTTTCCACAGTCCAGCTGTAGATGACGTTGCTGTGATTATTTACTTTGCACTCCAGAAAAACTGAACAAGATCCATCTGATCCAGGCTCAGTGATGTTGGAAAACACAATGGGAGTTGTGGATATGGGCTCTAATATGAGAACAGAGGGAAGAAGTGTAACGGAACAGTAACATTATACTTATGTGTACTTTATTTGCACAATTCACATAGTATTGCCCCCTTTAATCTTAGAAATTTCAGAAAGTTGTCATCAAATGATCAATTCTTCATAATTGATGCAACCATAAAATTTGCTTTCGCCCAGTAAATCCTGGGAGTCTCTCCTGCGATCGATCAGTGTTTGGCCTTAAAGCTCGAGCTCTTTTAGGCTCTGCAGCAGGACAGTAGTGACCCATATAGACATGATGTAAAAATTTGCATGAGCTCCTTTTTTTTTTTTGCATTGATTGTTTTCTAACAATATTGTGTTCTTCATTTTGAAAACAGTGTGTTAATCAGTCTGTTCTTTAAGAGTTTTACACAAGTTTTCTTTCTTGAAAATGTTGTTTTTGATTGATTGAATTGAAAGACCAGCATCTTACCCTGAACTTGCAGAGTGATGACGACTGGACGTTGTTGGCCTTTGACCTCTGCGTTGAAAATAAATTGACCAGAATCTTGAAGAGTCAGGCCTCTTATTGTGAAACTAAAGGTTGTGTTATTGAATGTTGATCTGCCTTTAAATGGATTGTTTCCAGTAAGACCTGAACCTTTGATTGCTACTTTCATGCCTCCATAGCTCCAATCTGCCCTGGCGATGCCTTCAGCTGGTAAATTTGATGAAAGCTCCACAGAGTCTCCAACTTTTTTATGAATGAATCGTTTTCCTTCTGAAGCCTCCACATCTGAAACACATTATAAACAACTTAATGAATCATTATGCAAATTAATTCTTTGTTTTCCTTTTAATAAATCTCTAGATGGACTAATAACAGAAAAAGCAAATGACAGAAATACGTTCAGCAACCGTTTGTCATAAATATTAGCGCAAATCACAGCTGAGGTTTCTGATCTCAGTTTATATCTTATGGTAGAAAAAGAGATGCACACAAACTTTTAACTTTCGAATTTCTTTACTTGACATTTACTTCCAATACTTCATTCCCCCCCGAGTCAGAAAAAATTTATTATTGTTTCATGTAAGCAAATGTCAAACACACCATGACGGCCTAGTCCAAGAACAGCAAGAAGAAGCCACACAGACTGAAGGCCTCTGGGAGAGAACAACATCTTTATTCTCTGCAGCTTGGTCAGATGTGACCTGGATGAGGCGAGACGTTTCTGGTCCAGCAGAAATACTTCCTAAAATAAAAAGAAGAAGAAGAAGAACGTCACAGCCTGCAACTAATGTAAACTCCTCGACGTGAGAAGAGTTTTAAACTTAAAAATATCCTAGCACTGTAGATCTTCACACGTACGTATAGTTCAAACAACCTTCTTTTCAAACAGTAACTCTCTGTGACAAGATCTGATGACAGAACCCATAAAAATCATCCAGAATCAACCGTCAGTCAGAACAGACTTTACAGACTGCGACTGTATTTTTGTTCTCAACTTGCAAGGTTTTGATACATTTGTCACTTCCTCTCATTCAGACTCTTGTTAAAGTAAAACTTTCCTCGACACAACCCGCCTTTGTTCTGCTCTGTATGTGTCCCTCCAGCCACAGACACACGGTGAGATCAGTGACTCTTGCGTGTAGACGATCAGGTTTAACTCCTGGTTATGGCCTCGTTTCTGGGATCTGGACATCATTTGTCTTGCCTCACACCTTGATCTCCATATTTAACTATCTGCAGAAATAGTTAGCCGGGGTCCCGATAACTCTAGAGTAACGCAGTTATGTTGTGTTCTCTCTTAATCTCACGTCTATCAAATAACATGGAGGAACTAAAGTCGATTACTTTAGCGTCAAACGGCGAGAATGCAAAATATACATCAACTCTAAATTCACCGAGTATGCCCCATTTATTGCAGATCAATACCTTTCTGTATGTTTTGTTGCAGCATAACAAATGTTGTTCTTTCATAACCACAGAGCAGAAGATGAGACTTTTATAAAAAGACTAAATATTAATGTAAACAAATAAAGACAAAGTTGCAAAGAGCGAAGACCACACGAACACTCTGCCAGACGAGGCACGTATTACCCATCTCTGCTAGAGAATAACATTCTTACCTCCTTATTCTTACGTTGGCTGAACTGAGGGTTTGATGTGTTAGAGAGGACACTGCGAACGAGTCAAATCAAGGAAGTGGTTAGAGGAAGCGTTGCTTTAAAATACAGATCTAATGACGATTAAATTCTCAAGCATCTCTGTTGCTTACATTGGTGCAAGCAGATCAAGCTTGCATTGGTGCAATCTATTTATGTGTTGCATGTAATTATTGTTAACACAGCCTAAATGTAGTCTTTAATGCTAGGTGAGGTTTGTTTGGCTTTGCTCCAAACACCAACATGCAGAGAAACTGAAGTACAATGAGGTGAGTTGACTTGAGTTGAGGTGACGGTGAGTTAAAGGTGTGTAGGACAAAATAGTTTACGGAGGAAAAATGGAGCGTTCTTAATCAATTGGATTCGGTCCGGGGAGAATGTTCTGTGGTCTCCGGGGTCATGGACTCTTTGCAGGGGTCTTTGAAGTGGTCCAGGTTCAGACGGGAAGTTTGTAGAGTGCAGATGGTAGAGGCTGTGGTGGAACTGAAAGTGCAGTCAGTCTGCTTATGTGTCAGACTGACAGATTTGAATTAAAAAGAGTCACATCGAAATCTCTGGCTTTCCTGGTTTATCATGAGTTTCTTACTTCTTCCTGATCCTTTTCGAACATGTTAAAACTTCTGCGGTGCAAAACTATGTGTCTTTCGCATTCCTTGTTCTTGTGCCTTACTTTATACTGCTGTCATGTTCGAAATAAATACAGAAACAAAAATGGAGCGCAAACTGAGAATGCCTATTTTAAGATTTCACAAGACCAATCCGTCCTTAAAGTTGCATCAATAGTACGTTGATACAACTTCACCCTGGAAACATAAACGTGTCCCACCAGCACAAGTGGTTCCAATATAAAATCTAATGAACGGTGTAAAGAATACCTTTAAAAAACGCAAATTAAGAAACGCAGGTTTCAGTGACGTGTTGAGGTCGACTCCGCCCCTGTTCTCTCTCAGGTCCGCAGGTCTCCCATATAGTCTCTGTTTCCTCCTCCTGACCCGCATCGTCTCTTCAGACTCTTGTAGATCAACATGAGCGGCAGAGGAAAGGGAGGTAAAGGACTCGGTAAAGGAGGCGCCAAGCGCCACCGGAAAGTCCTCCGTGACAACATCCAGGGAATCACCAAGCCCGCCATCCGCCGTCTGGCTCGCCGCGGGGAGTCAAGCGAATCTCCGGCCTCATCTACGAGGAGACCCGCGGTGTGCTCAAGGTCTTCCTGGAGAACGTCATCCGTGACGCTGTCACCTACACCGAGCACGCCAAGAGGAAGACCGTCACCGCCATGGACGTGGTCTACGCTCTCAAGAGGCAGGGCCGCACTCTGTACGGCTTCGGGGTTAAACTCGCAACCTCTGCACAAAACAAACCAACTAAACAAAGGTCCTTTCAGGGCCACACACATGACTTTTAAGCAGCTAATTCCCTGTCTAATGTGACCAATAAGATGCTGGTGCAAGAAATGATTAATTATTAGTTGCATTTCATAAACTTAATGCAGATGACATAATAGTGTAGGAAAGGGTTGCTGTAAAGTTCAATAATCTCCATAATCTCCCAAACATTTGAGCTGGAATGCAAATTCACTTACACTTTAAATCTCACACCTATCATGCTGAGCTAATTGCTGCACATACTACTGTTTGAACTAATAATCCTCTTAATTTCTTTTAATTCATTTTATGTGGTTGGTGCACCGTCTGTACAACTTAAAAGGTTATTGTGTGACCCTCATCTATAAACTGGCTGATAAATTACATCACTGTAATGTGAAAAAAGCATCTTGGAAATTGTTCAAAGAGAAAAGGGATGTTAAAAAATAGATTTAAACTACTTAAGTCGTTTGGATATGTTTAAAACCAGCCTTGAATAGTTTTCCATGAGCTCACTCAATCTAAAGCTACACTGCCCCCTATTGGTTGTTTCTCGGTACAGCAGCAACTTTCATCTCAGTGACATGCAACATTATTTAATGCTGTCCGTTGACCCTAATAAAGTAAACCAGCAACATTTCAGATTGATGGTGTTTGAAATGATTCTCAGTTCTGCACACAAAGAGTATCTATGTAAAAAAAAAAAAGTCTGATAAACAGTGACTTATGTGCAGTAAAACTGACATATTTGGCTCAGGGTTGGTGACAGAGGAACTGAATCCACACTGGAATTTGCTAAAGCAAATCATTTCTTTCATCTAACCAGTAAAAAGTTAAATCTTTATGATAAAACTCCATTTTGTAAAGCAATGTTGCAAAGTGATCCAACAAAAAACAGGAAATTGTTAGTGCAGAGAAAGACTTGAGAGAAGCATTTGTAGGTCACGCCTGAAAGGTGCAGAAAACCCCAAACCCCCCCCCCCCCTCAAAATGAGGCAGTGATGTCATTCTGTAAGGGTTGCTAGGCAGCCACCAATAAGGAGAGCAGGATTGTGAGAGAGTCAAAGCTGCACAGGTTTGAATTTAAGGAAATATGTGCATGAAGCTTCTGTTCATTAGCACAGAGCATGTTTGCAAACAGTATTTTTAATGAAAGGTTTGAGAAGAAACAAAAATATTTCGCTCATTTCAAGATAGAAAGCTGTTCAGGTGTGCTGTGCCATGGATTTTGAGGAGAGATTAACAAAAACAACTAGTTTGTTAATCTAGCAAGAAGCATCAATAAACACACATGTAGGTTCTAAATATAAAACGGTTGAAAAATCTGGTACCAACATGTCTCTACAGGCCAGAGAGCAAAAAAGTTGGACTAAAGCAGAAAGCAGGTGGAGCACGCTCATCTTCTAAAGGTGAAATTGAACAAAACACCCAAATTAAATCAACTCATGTCCTAACCGGTTCTAAGGCCCACCACCCCCTGAAAGCTTCTCGTTTCTTTTCTCTTGCTCAAAGCGTCAGCTGCAATGTTCCAACCTCAATTGTTGCCACTCACCACAGGGTGATCTGTCAAAAAAAAAACAAAGCAAAAAACAATCGCTTGATTTGAGTCAGCAGTATGAATATTTGTTGATCGTGACCTTAGACTTACAGAGTGATGCCGGTTGATTTCGGTCATTTGATTGGCTGCTTGCTGTGAGCCGGGTCACGCGGTGGTCGGTCAACTGACTATAACGTCAGAAACCTCCTCCCTGTCTCGACACAAGACAGAGAGTGGAGACCATGGAAGGTGAGTCAAAGCTTTTTCAGTTATAACCGATGATACTAATGGCTTCAATATTTGGTCTATTCAATCAGGATCGGCTAAGATGATGAAAAACGCTTCTACGCTGTTATAACTGGTAAATTCAAACCCTTGAACCCTTGAAGTTTTTATTTGCTTCACATTCTTAAGAATAGACATTTTATAATAACCGTTTCACATGACAGTAAGTTTTTGGATACGGTGTGAATACAATACAAGCATCGTGTGAAAGTGTAGAGCTTTCAAAAGTGCAGCTGAAACCAGAAATTTACGTCTCCTGAATATAAAGACACATTACATTGAGATGAGTCTGAAACTAAGTCAGACCAAATGTCTCTTGTTTTTAGGTTCATTTGAGTTATTTAAATTTGTTTATTTGCTAAATACCAGAAAACCTGTTGAAATTGTGTTTTGGAGACATTTTTTACTTTCTTAAATTCAGAAGACGTGGAAATATCTGGTTTCAGTCATACATTTGATCAAGTTAATTGTTTTCATGCTAAACAAATCACTATTGCTTTGAATATGGCCCAATAAAGCTCATATGAAACCTGATTTTGTCCAATCGCAGCTCATGTTTCAAAAACGGCTCTGCAGTTCTGAGACGTCTCAGTGACTAAAGTAGCTGCTTTGCTATGAACCTTTTTTTTTTTCTAGTTTTGCAATAAATGTTAGAAAATGTAACCAATATGGTGATAACTAGTATTATGTTTTGAGTTAGTTGTTCATCCTCACACATGTAGGCATAATGTAAAAAAAGAGAGAAATATCAATAATTACTGATAATTTGAATCTTCCTCAGACCTGAATCTGTTTGCAAAGCTTATAAGTTTATGAGCCTTTTATGCATAGACGTTAAAGGTGTTTTAGAGGCACTGCTACACTGCCCCCTACTGGTTGCTCATCAGTGCAGCAGCAGCTTCATCTCAGTAAGACGCAACGTTATTCAATGCTGTCCGTTGACTCCAATAAAGTGAAACAGCAACATTTCAGATTCTTTGTGTTTACAAAGAGCTCAGCTGACTGTTAGTTCTGCTCACAAAGAGAATAAATGTACCAATGGCTGATAAACAGTGACTGTCCAGCACTCGGCTCTGAGTTGCTGACAGAGGAACAGAATCCACACTGACAATGTCTAAATTCAGCAACAGTGAGCAATGCTGCTAAATGATCCAACAAAAAACAGAAAATCATTAGTGTAGAGAAAGACTTAAGAGAAGCATTCATAGGTCACACCTAAAGGTGCAGAAAACCCAACCCCCTGAGAATTGGTAGTAAACGTGGCTCTGACTGATTGCACAGGTAATTCAAAATGCACTTTCAAAGTGGTGAAAGTTCGTCCCACTGAAGCGTCGCAATCATGAAAAACGTGTTTGTAAAACCAGACGTGAGAGAGTGCAGACCACCACCTTCCTGTTCCTCTTAGCGCCGCTTAGCCAGGCAACTCTCTCACCCCGTTAACTGGTCTGGAGGTGACGGCGGTTTCCGCCTCAACATTTTCTCAGACCAGACTTTACCTTCACCCTCCAATACGTGGCCTCTGGCCTGCTGGGCCTTTTCAAAAGAAGCCGTCAGATAATAAGCCATCTGAAAATCCTTCGTCGTTTGATCATTTGCTCAGTGAGTTCCCACACCTCCAGAATAAAAATGCACTGAACTGAAATAAATATCTCCTGAGTTATAACTTGCATCTGAAGTCGATTGTTTCTGATTGATAATTAAACATCTTTAATGAAACAGCTTCTTAAATTATGACCAAGGAACTTCTTTTTTTTTTTTTTTTTTTTTTTTTACGTCCCAATCACAGCTTCAAAGCGAAGTGACAAACGTTTTGAATGGCATTCAGTTACTTTGAGTTTCTTCCTCTGCAGACAAGAAAATGCAAGTCATCCTGCTGGTCGCCGTCTTCTGCGGCTGCGTCCTGGGAATCGAGGATTTAAACAAACTGCCCTGTCAGCCGACCAAAAAACGAAACGCTTTCTTTACCTTTGAAAAAAGACACATCCTTCCAAAAAACTTTGACACCAGGTCAAAACCTGCCTGGCAGAGGTGAGTTACTGATGTCAATACCTTTGAGTGAAAGGTGAGAATAAACGTCAGCAGCTGCTGGTATGAAAGCGTAACTCTGTCATATCGAAGCCACAACTATGAACTGTGGTTTGCATGTGATTCAGTTCAAATCAAACACACTCTAATTCATAATGTGAGTTTAACTGAATGACTTGTGACATCATGAAGAAAAACTTTCTTTAAATGAAAAACATGAATGTTTTTCTTAAACAATATATTTATTTCCCTAGACACATAAGCCTCTTGAATCGCTGCGAGGAACCAACTCAGACCTTCATCGAGAGCTCAAACAAAAACCTTATCGTAGAAATCTGCAACGGCAAAGGCTGGAACCAGGAGGGCAACCTGTGCACCAGTGAATTCAAGCTGCCGGTGTTTGTGGTGAAAGTGGCGAGAACAAAATGCAGAGTTAAAAAGGTCCCGACGGGAAGAAGAGAGTCTGTGACTGTGGCTTGCGATAAAGTGGGCAGATTGTGCCTTCCTGTTCATTTTGAGTCAAAAGCTCAAACCAATGAACGGCGCAGAAGCATCTGCTCTCCTCCTGCTGTGGGTTTTTGGTTCCACAGACGTTTTAATGTCTCCGTCTGGATCGACTGAGAGGTGATTAGAAATACTTCAGGAATGCCTCTTTATCTCTCAAACCCTTTAACCTGCTCCAGCAACCCTGTAGAAAAAAAAACCAAAGAAAGTTCTTCAGGTGAAATTATTATTATTTTTCCCCCCTGCATCATGATTAATATTTTACATGCCAGCGCAGCTTTTGCTTGTTTCACAAATATAAAAGCTTTGAAATCCGTGTGACATGAAGTGAATCGTTTGTTCTCTGATCTCCTGATTTACTGTGCGAAGAAACTATATGACTATTTTGTTTCTGGGTGTTTTTTTTTTTCTGATTTCTTCTTTTTTTCCTCTGGAAAACCTGTTTGAAATAAAACAAATTACTTTAAAAAAAAAAAAGTTGAATATGTATGACTGGGTTAAACTGGCTTTTTTTTCCTGGAGTATTTCGAGTATTGCGGCCCTCGCAGCCAAGCGCCGCTCCGGCCTATTGGCCACGGCAGGGTACTAGCAACCGCCGCCCCGCCAGCCACCACAGAAGCTGTTGTGCAGTTTCTGCATCCGTCCACCAGGCGGTACGTATCGATGCGTTCGGCGGCATTCCCTGACGACGCACAAAAATGTGGTGCAGATTGGTGGATTTAGCGAGGAGATATAGCTGGTGGATGAATGTAGGGGGCGCAGTGGAGTCAAAATACATTTCAATGCTTTTGGGTTCTTTAGAGGTCAACAAAGGTCATACATATCCAATTTGGCGCCAGTCGGATGATCCATGTGTGATTTAGAGCCGATCGTATGCACATGGCGAAGGACTGCAGCTCGCCATTTCTCCACCCCAATGCGGTTTGGTCAGCAGCCAGCATTCATAGAGTTCATCATGTTATCGTTTTAAGTCAGTTTTCACATGATGAAACCCATATGAATGATAGAATAACAGTAAAACATACAAAAGAAAAAACAGATGATTAAAAGTGGGCGGGTCACTTGATGACATCATGGAAATGTGTTCAGGATTGTTCTGTAGAGAGACACAGGATGTGTGATGCAGCTGTAATCTTGCATATGGAAGTAACTGAATCTTGATATTTGACAGCGAATAGTCAAAGTCTGCCACGCCGCCACGCCCACATGCTCCATCGAAGCCGGTCAGGGTTGGAATCCTCAACACACCAACATGTTTTCTGTCTCTGGGTACAGCTTCATGTTGATGAGGTCAAAGGGTCAGATAGCAACCATTATCTGACCATTATCACTAAGTTATCAGGGGCGTGGCCTAAGTGATGTCATCATGGTCGAATGATGTCATCATTCGACCATTGGGTATTGTCAGACACCCGATGATGATCAATCACAGTAACTTTGGTGCCTCTGTGAGTTTCTGTGTAGGAGATAAATCGGGTCAAAATCAGAACTTCAATCTAAAATGGCCGACATCCTGTAACACTTGCACTATGACATTAATTGTAAATTCTGAGCATCTTGGGGAGCTCTACAAGCGTACCAAATTTCATGTCTCTAAGATGAAGTAAGGGAATAGCAAATGAGCTTTTAAAAATTGCTAGGTGGCGCCGTTGAGCCGTTTCATTTGCGATTTCTACAACGACCTTAAAATACGAAATTTTGAAACTCCCTTGTCGCCAAGTTTGGTGAGTTCTTGAATATGATAAAACCTCCAAAAAGGCCCCTCTTTAGATGGGTAGAATAATAAGAAACAGTACAAAACAATACAAACTGATGTGAATTTACTGCGTGACAACCGTCTGGTTCAGTTCATTCAATTGTGAATTGGGGTCATTAAATGAATAGAAGTGAGTTGAAACGAGCAGAAAACATTCAGACTCTATGAAGTAAAATGAACTCCCGCCTCTTTCTTTGTCGCTAAACCCCACGTGACTCGTTTTGAAGTCGGCGCTTTGTTGTTTTACCCACTGAGCGAAACAGCCAATCACAGCCGAGGGATGGCGCAGCTCTATTTGCATGCTGGGTGTATAACAGAGACCTCACCGCTCACAGACAGTCAGTCGTCGCTGTCAATTTTCAGAGACAACATGCCCGAACCCGCCAAGTCTGCGCCCAAGAAGGGCTCCAAGAAAGCGGTCACCAAAACCGCCGGCAAGGGAGGCAAGAAGAAGAGAAGGACCAGGAAGGAGAGCTACGCCATCTACGTCTACAAGGTGCTCAAGCAGGTCCACCCCGACACCGGGATCTCCTCCAAGGCCATGAGCATCATGAACTCCTTCGTCAACGACATCTTTGAGCGCATCGCCTCCGAGGCCTCCCGTCTGGCTCACTACAACAAGCGATCCACCATCACCTCCAGGGAGATCCAGACCGCAGTGCGCCTCCTGCTGCCCGGTGAGCTGGCCAAGCACGCCGTGTCTGAGGGAACCAAGGCTGTCACCAAGTACACCAGCTCCAAGTAGACCGGCTAATGCTGTGAATGCAACAACCCAAAGGCTCTTTTAAGAGCCACTCACTGCGTCTGCAGAGCCATGTTCCTTATGACTTTAAGCTAAACTAAAAGGTAGGTGGAGAAATGTAAAAAGAAAAAAACTCTTGTGCAAGTTAAAGCAGCTATGACTGCACTTTAAAATCTGAAAGAGTCCCAACTTGGGGTGTCATATCTGCTCACAAACTTCATGTGGCTGCAGCAAAAAGAAAAACAAAAAAACTCAAAGGTCGACCATGAAGTTTGGACATTTTAATCAGGCAGTTGTCTGGCCTCCCCATAAACTCCTATCCATGATAGAGGCTTAAATTTTATTTATCAACTTGTCCTGACAAAAGATGTATATTTCAATAACAAAACCCAGTTTAGACTTTCACCCAGAAAGTATACCTAGTAACTTGTCATTTCAGATAAAATCATAAAATGAAAGGGGAGAAAAAAAAACTTCCAGCTCTTTGTTTATTGGTGGGTAATTATTGCATCTGATGGTCTTAATGTGGATATTTTGTGGTTTGACCATTTCGGTGACTTATCATAATATCTATTTTTAAACGTCCAATGGTTTATAATTGTGGCTATGAAACTGCCAACATGTTCTGTTTGACGACTATAAAATATAAAACGTTCAGAGGAACAACAGAGAGAAACATAGCAGAGGAAGCTTTGGGGTCAGGAACTTTTTCGTCCAGTTTCAATGACGTGTTGAGCTCACTCAACACGCTTAGTGGGACAAATTACACTAAACCACCACTGACTTCATGTTCATAAAGTCACATTTCATTTCATTCACCAGTGGAAATGTTGGAATAAAAAGTGATTCTGGTTCTGAACTACAATCTCAGCCACTTCACTTCTTTACCAAAGTCAAATTTTTGGATTATACAAATTAATGTACGCTACAGTTAACAGTTATATCATGTTTTAATGAGCAGTATGTAGTCTGAGGCAAACTCATGCTCTTAAATTGTATGCAGACATGAATTTCACTGTATAAAAGTTTCTGAGACACTTAGGAAATCAGGTAACTGTATAACGGATCATTTTTCTGTAGGTTCTCATCAAATATTAAACTGAACTAATCACTCATAATTGATTTTTATTTATTATTATTATTATTATTATTTTCATCCTCTCAAAATGAATTCGTGAATTGCCGAAGGAAAGCTATTTAAAGAAACGGCGGAGAAAACCAGGAGCGAGCTCGACTCCGCCCCTGTTCTCTCTCAGGTCCGCAGGTCTCCCATATAGTCTCTGTTTCCTCCTCCTGACCCTCATCGTCTCTTCAGACTCTTGTAGATCAACATGAGCGGCAGAGGAAAGGGAGGTAAAGGACTCGGTAAAGGAGGCGCCAAGCGCCACCGGAAAGTCCTCCGTGACAACATCCAGGGAATCACCAAGCCCGCCATCCGCCGTCTGGCTCGCCGCGGGGGAGTCAAGCGAATCTCCGGCCTCATCTACGAGGAGACCCGCGGTGTGCTCCAGGTCTTCCTGGAGAAGGTCATCCGTGACGCCGTCACCTACACAGAGCACGCCGAGAGGACGACCGTCACCGTCATGGACGTGGTCTACGCTCTCAAGAGGCAGGGCCGCACTCTGTACGGCTTCGGGGGTTACACAGTAAATTTGGTAGTGTTAAAGCAATACCTATAGAGTCGAATTTAACACCGTTTCCGAGTCTATATGTTCCCTATCGGAATTGGTGTTAATGTTACTCTTTCAACAGTGTTACATTTTCAGAGTTAAATTGAACTCTAAATCGAGTAAAAATTTTACACTGGCTAACACTGTGCAGTGTTAATAAAACTTAACACTCCTAGTAATAAAATAATAAAATAACTCTGTTAATAACCTACCTTTTAAGCTAAACTAAAAGGTAGGTGGAGAAATGTAAAAAGAAATAAACTCTTGTGCAAGTTAAAGCAGCTATGACTGCACTTTAAAATCTGAAAGAGTCCCAACTTGGGGTGTCATATCTGCTCACAAACTTCATGTGGCTGCAGCAAAAAGAAAAACAAAAAAACTCAAAGGTCGACCATGAAGTTTGGACATTTTAATCAGGCAGTTGTCTGGCCTCCCCATAAACTCCTATCCATGATAGAGGCTTAAATTTTATTTATCAACTTGTCCTGACAAAAGATGTATATTTCAATAACAAAACCCAGTTTAGACTTTCACCCAGAAAGTATACCTAGTAACTTGTCATTTCAGATAAAATCATAAAATGAAAGGGAGAGAAAAAAAAACTTCCAGCTCTTTGTTTATTGGTGGGTAATTATTGCATCTGATGGTCTTAATGTGGATATTTTGTGGTTTGACCATTTCGGTGACTTATCATAATATCTATTTTTAAACGTCCAATGGTTTATAATTGTGGCTATGAAACTGCCAACATGTTCTGTTTGACGACTATAAAATATAAAACGTTCAGAGGAACAACAGAGAGAAACATAGCAGAGGAAGCTTTGGGGTCAGGAACTTTTTCGTCCAGTTTCAATGACGTGTTGAGCTCACTCAACACGCTTAGTGGGACAAATTACACTAAACCACCACTGACTTCATGTTCATAAAGTCACATTTCATTTCATTCACCAGTGGAAATGTTGGAATAAAAAGTGATTCTGGTTCTGAACTACAATCTCAGCCACTTCACTTCTTTACCAAAGTCAAATTTTTGGATTATACAAATTAATGTAACGCTACAGTTAACAGTTATATCATGTTTTAATGAGCAGTATGTAGTCTGAGGCAAACTCATGCTCTTAAATTGTATGCAGACATGAATTTCACTGTATAAAAAGTTTCTGAGACACTTAGGAAATCAGGTAACTGTATAACGGATCATTTTTCTGTAGGTTCTCATCAAATATTAAACTGAACTAATCACTCATAATTGATTTTTTATTGATTTTTTGATAAGTTTTCATTGCAAAAAAATAAAAGGAAGAATGAAACGCTATTCCACAAACTGATAATCAGATGAATAAAATGCTCATTTTTGCCATTCAGTCCATAATGTACAAGAATATAATATAAATATCTACTGTTGATTCACATCCACTCAACATAAACACGTGATTACGCAACAGTCCTATCAATAAGACAATGGAGGCTTCTGTCATTTTACTTTTGAAAGCTCTTCAGTTTCACTAAATACCGACATTCAATTCATTTCATTGTTTCTCAACTGAAACACGAGATTTCTCTTTACTTTCCTCTTGATTGTATTAAAAACTTATCAGGGGCATCACTTATTTTCATCCTCTCAAAATGAATTCGTGAATTGCCGAAGGAAAGCTATTTAAAGAAACGGCGGAGAAAACCAGGAGCGAGCTCGACTCCGCCCCTGTTCTCTCTCAGGTCCGCAGGTCTCCCATATAGTCTCTGTTTCCTCCTCCTGACCCTCATCGTCTCTTCAGACTCTTGTAGATCAACATGAGCGGCAGAGGAAAGGGAGGTAAAGGACTCGGTAAAGGAGGCGCCAAGCGCCACCGGAAAGTCCTCCGTGACAACATCCAGGGAATCACCAAGCCCGCCATCCGCCGTCTGGCTCGCCGCGGGGGAGTCAAGTGTATCTCCGGCCTCATCTACGAGGAGACCCGCGGTGTGCTCCAGGTCTTCCTGGAGAACGTCATCCGTGACGCCGTCACCTACACAGAGCACGCCGAGAGGCAGACCGTCACCGCCATGGACGTGGTCTACGCTCTCAAGAGGCAGGGCCGCACTCTGTACGGCTTCGGGGGTTACACAGTAAATTTGGCAGTGTTAAAGCAATACCTATAGAGTCGAATTTAACACTGTTTCCGAGTCTATATGTTCCCTATCGGAATTGGTGTTAATGTTACTCTTTCAACAGTGTAACATTTTCAGAGTTAAATTGAACTCTAAATCGAGTAAAAATTTTACACTGGCTAACACTGTGCAGTGTTAATAAAACTTAACACTCCTAGTCAAATAACTCTGATAAGAGTAAATATGATTCTAATCAGAGTTAATAAGTTACTCCATAATGGTGAAAAAACTACTCTGGTTCTCATGTTATTTAACACTGCATCGAGTTATTGAAAGTTTACACTGGAGGCTCATATAACTCCTATGAGTGTTAAACTGACACTCCACTGTGTAGATAACTTACTCTTTAGCTGTGAAAAAACAACTCTGCACAGATAAATATGAAGTGCTATTTTTACACTTTTGTAGAGTGAAATGTACAACTGAATAAAAATCACATTACCACAGAAATGCATTTAACTTATTTATTGAATTAAAGCAGGTTTTGATATCCATTGTTAACTTTTGTCACAGTAACATCACATGGTGTACATCCCATTGACGGCTCGAAGTTGACAGAGTACATTTAAGGCAAAGAGTTTTTCCATCCAAGTAACCATGAACGAACTATTTGTAGATACCAAACAAGTGCATTTGTGCAACTTAACTCTGCCCAACAAATAAAACACATAATGCCAAACAGATTTGTTCAAGTACTACTGAAGCAACCTAGCCCGAATTTCTGCCACACGAGGACTTTCTTTCACTTTACCTACGTCTATATTGTACACAGTGGTCTGGATGAATGTGAACATGTTGCATAGTATGGGGTTGTATGTTGTGGCAAACACGTAATGTGCCTTAAACAGTTCATCAAAAGCACCAAGAGAGGATGTTGACCTGCAAGCAATGGCATTCTTGTCAAGGATGATGAAGAACTGTTGGGCTACTTTCTTCCTCCGTCCCACAGCAAGGAGATAGGGTTGTGTGCTCGTCGTGATGGCATCAAGATGTTCTTGGATGTTGGTTTCTATCTGTGGGGGAAAAAGAAAAGAACAATATAATTACAAAACTGCAATGTTCCACAAAAAACAGATATATGGAAAAACAGCATTTAACTATGTGATATCACTGTAAAACTGAAATTCTCCCAGTGAAACAACCTCGAGTATAACATAAAATAAAATTTGCAACAAATACAAACCTTCTTGAAGACCACAAGACGCTTCTCTGCTTGGGAGGCAGATACCTTCCTGGTCTCTTACGACCCAAGGCAGAGGGGGGAATCAGGTGTAGCAGCAGCAAAATCGATGAGAGGTCACTGTCCCAACCTGTGATAAGAAACATTTGATGTTGAATTGACCATCAAAACCTAGTGACTACACAATTTAAATTATGTGTACATCACTAAGTGAAGCTCACACAATAATTAAATTCTACATGTTGTTGAAGTCATCCTTTACTCATGTCATTATCCAACTTCAGTGCTATCCTCAGGAGTATCAGCTGCAGGAGAAGTTCTTCAAGGTCACTGAGTGGTTGGAAGCTTCCGCATTGTTTGGATGATCTTTCTCTTGAACGTGGTCGTCCATTTTTCCAGAAACTTGCCAGACACATCTTCTCCAAACATCAGGACAAAATCCTGCTCCACCTAGGATGTAGATAGTAAAAAGCTTAAAAATTTCCCAGCCACTTTAACTTGTATTCATTTAGACTTGTCACAAAAAATACACTAATTTTACATGACTGTAAAATTATCAAAATAAATAATTACCAAGCCTTTGACATCTTTGAAATGTGAAAGACAGAGAGTATGTTGCTTGACCTTTGGGGGTCAAGGACCATGTTGCGCCGGAAGTCAAATGTGAGCTTCATCTTCTTCTTGATTGTGTCCTCATCAGCTGAATGCTTAATCAGTGCGATGGCTTCCTTGCACTCTTCTTCACTCAGGACAGTCTCTGAACAAAACTTGGTGTCTCGTCTAGCAGCTGGTCCTCCAAGCCCTTGTTGACAAGATCCTTCTTCGGATGATGCTAGTAAAAATAAAATCTTCAACTTACAAAAACAAGAATGAGCTGGCTGAGATTCCTCAGGCGATTCCATCATGGAGACAAATTCTAACCATAAGAGAAGCAGATGAAAGACAAAAAACAGTAATCACAATGAAATAGCAAGCTTATTAAATACTAAAATGAATTACAAATATAACAAACCAGTTTCATATTCGATGGTTAGGACTCAGCAGAAGGATCCTTAACAACATCTTCATCCAACTCAGTCCTGAACTGTCAACAACCTTCACGCCCTCTGTTACAGTTGGCAGAGCCAAATTTTTACAAATGCTAGAGAAAAGACAAATGCTTGTCTAAACCACAATTATGAGGTTATGTTGCTCTAATACTCACATGTGCACATAAATTCTGGAACAATACTTTTGATAAACAATGTCAAGTAACATTACAAGCGCCTCAGAGCTTCCTGTGTAAAGCTCCCAGTGTCTTACCTGCTGTCAAAAACTCCTTCAGATTCGGCTCCGTTAGTCGGACAAATTTTTGCAGCTCGCCAAGTCTTGTTTTAATCAACATGGTTCCTGCAGCCACATAATTCCTCAGTCATTCTTTAGTACTGGAATGCTTTCAGTTTATGAAACGTGCCAACTGCTTCACAAACCAATACAGCTCACATTACATCGTGTTCATAGAAACAATGATTAAAGTTTACACAATAATGGCTTGGCGCAAATTAATTTGACTTCTTTGCTCTTATCCAAGTTAGACAATTAATAAATGCCCTTTCCTTCAGTAACTAGAACAGTTAATTCAACTGCCTCGCTTCTTTTTCGCCTTGTCTGTTAGCACTAGCAACGGTTAATGGCGGAGTCACGCAAAGTTTACAGTAGAGCTATGATGCTGGGCACGGAAAAAAAATCACTCGCGCCAAATTCAGTGTCAACTATGAAACTGGACTATTATCATCGCTTACGGTTAATTTATGTTGCATTGCAAAAAATAACTAAATAAATAATAAATAAAACAAATATCTATGCTATATGGCTTGGACATGGATTTTAGGCGGACATTTTAAGCTAGGCATTCACTCGGTCAGGTTAGCCGTATAAAACTCAGTATTTAGATATCTAGCCCACTCATATACCGGGGAACAAATAAAATATTCTTATAAAACAATTCAAATTGTATTATTATCTTATAAAAAGAAACTTACCGCAGTCGCTCAAGCAGGAGAAAAATGGCGTCCACACAACGGTTAGACTGGTTGGTTTGAGAGGAGGAGGTGGGCGGAGCTTGTCAGAGTCAAATTGACACGACGTGAATACACTCTGGAAATTTACACCAACACTAGGTGGCATTATACTCAGTCTGTTGTATTAGCTCTGAAAGAGTCAATCAATTTTAACACAGCATATTTAACACTGCGAAATTTACTGTGTAAACTCGCAACTCCTGCACAAAATAAACCATCTGAACAAAACGGCCCTTTTCAGGGCCACACACTTTCTGACGAGCTGATTGTTCCTCATTTATTATTTAATGATTATAATTCCTAGATAATAAACTGGTTAGACTTTCAAGTTTTCTGCAAGTCTGCATAAACCTAAAACATCTGAGCACAGAGTAAATCAATTTGATTGTTCTACCTTATGTTTTGTTTTAAAAGCATGTTTAAATTTGTACTTTCAGCTTTTAAAGTACAAACTGACACCTGTTAATTACTATTTACTACCAAAGAATTGAACTAACACAAGAAGCTAATTGGTGCACATTTGTTAACATATCTTAACCCATGAGGAAATTTTAAATCCCAATGCAAAATAAACAAAAACACACTTTGAGCAAAAGTATCAGAAAACATGAAGGGGAAACATATTACAAAAATCTGGAAATAGAAATCTAAGTTGTGTAGCATTTATGATTGCAGGAAATTCTAGTTCTGTTTAATGAGAAACTGAGCTTTAAGATACAATGTATCAAACATTCTGGATGGAGAGGTTCAATGTTTCACAAGGCAACTGAATCCTCTATTAGTGCTTATAAACAGTTATTACTATGTTGCCTCAGAGCAGTGTAGATGCTGTTTTAAATAAAAATACAGAAGACTTTCCCAGGATTTAAGGGCCATTTGTTTATGAAAACAGGATAATTAGAACTAATGCAGTGACTAATGACTGTAAATTTCAGTAGAACCAAGAGGTCATTGACTTAGGCTTTTTCATTAATGCCCAATTAAAAGTGACTTTGATGAGTAAAACTTTAATTATTGAAGGGAAAAAACTAACATTGTGAAGTCAGCATGAGTCTGAGCTCTTCCAGTTTAGTGTGTGGCTCTTAAAAGAGCCTTTGGTTGTTTAGTTTCCAGCGCAGCGGGGTGTCTGGGTTGTTCTACTTGGCCTTAGCGGCCTTCTCGGTCTTCTTGGGCAGCAGCACCGCCTGTATGTTGGGCAGCACTCCACCCTGAGCGATGGTGACTCCACCCAGCAGCTTGTTGAGCTCCTCGTCGTTGCGCACGGCCAGCTGCAGGTGACGCGGGATGATGCGGGTCTTCTTGTTGTCGCGGGCGGCGTTCCCGGCCAGCTCCAGGATCTCAGCGGTCAGATACTCGAGCACGGCGGCCAGATAGACGGGGGCTCCGGCACCGACCCGCTCGCCGTAGTTGCCTTTGCGCAGCAGCCTGTGAACGCGGCCCACCGGGAATTGGAGTCCTGCTCTGGAGGAGCGGGTCTTGGCCTTGGCTCTGGCTTTTCCTCCGGTCTTTCCGCGGCCGCTCATTTTGCTGTTATTGTTTGTTTCTGGAGACGAGACTCGAGAAAATATGAGCAGCGGCGGCTGAAAGCGGCTTTATATGTCCGCGCAGAGGAGCGGGACGATGCCGGCGACCAATCAGAAAAGCTCCCGGCAGAGCGGGACGGAGAGGAGGACTTTTTGAACGCGGCGTCGGCGTCGGCGGACATTCAGACGTGATCCGACGCCTCTGGGCGGGGCTGAGCTGCAGGAGGAGCCGCCGACCAACCAGGATCCGGAGCGGAGCTGCAGCGTCACAGAGCGACGCGCCCAGAGCCTGAGCTTAAGAGCAGCGGAGCGTCGGCGGGTCGCAACATTTGGTTTTCTCTCTGGATCCCGATCGGAGCAGCGGAACATGGCCAGAACCAAGCAGACCGCCCGTAAATCCACCGGAGGCAAAGCCCCCAGGAAGCAGCTGGCCACCAAGGCGGCCAGGAAGAGCGCTCCGGCGACCGGCGGCGTGAAGAAGCCTCACCGCTACAGGCCCGGTACCGTGGCTCTGAGAGAGATCCGCCGCTACCAGAAGTCCACGGAGCTGCTCATCCGCAAGCTGCCCTTCCAGCGTCTGGTCCGAGAGATCGCTCAGGACTTCAAGACCGACCTGCGCTTCCAGAGCTCCGCCGTCATGGCTCTGCAGGAGGCCAGCGAGGCCTACCTGGTGGGGCTGTTCGAGGACACCAACCTGTGCGCCATCCACGCCAAGAGGGTCACCATCATGCCCAAAGACATACAGTTGGCCCGCCGCATCCGCGGAGAGAGAGCTTAGAGGCTGCAGCAGCTACAACAACACAAAGGCTCTTTTAAGAGCCACACATCAAACTTTAAGACATTGTTTCCACTTATTTGGCACATTCATTAATTCCCACTATAGTTTCACTGTCAAACTCCGCAATGTTTGTTTTAGGATTCATTTTACTTTGAATGACTAGTTAAAAATGTAAATTTCTAAATGGTTTTCAAGGTTGAAAATCGCATGTTCTGTACATTAAAATAATAATTTAATATTTTATGACTCAGTGACCTCAAGGGAAGACATTTTCAACAGGCAAACAGCAAAACAATGTAATTGTTTTGAGAAACTAAATGTTTCTTAATATCAAGATAAATACATTAAAGAGCTTCATAAATTGAAAAAAACTGCAACTCATTAAATCTGCAAGCAACTTTAGAGAGAAAAATCAATCCCAAATCTGCTTATAAATTGGACGTTTGGAGCAAAACTCATAGATTTTGTTGCTGGAAAAACAGCAACTAATTTTTTTCTATAAAGTGGCCTGAGGGACAAATGCAATCCTTGAAGTTTTAAGGCCCAGATCCAGAACAGAAGTTCTGGTCCACAAGGCTGATTGAGACAAATGTCTTCAAACATTTTTATTTTATGATGAAACCACAATATAGATTCTGGTTTTTAATGTTCTAGTCGAGGTATTTATGCAACCAGGTTTAGATGATGTTCTTTATTATGCTAGTAGCTGAGGATGGACTTTCTTTCCTTACATCAAAATACATAAAGCATTTTGACTTATACAGAAATGTGAATTAAAGAATTGTATTTCCCACATCAATATTATATTTTGTGCCATCTTAGCTTAGGCTAGTGGTTCAGTGAATACTTTTTAAGCTATACAGAACATCCCTGCTTTAAGTCAACCCTGAACTTCATTTTTATCTTGGTAAATTCAGTACATTTCAATCCCAATGACATTTATGTTGTGAATCTAATACAAATAAGGAACATGGCTCTGCAGACGCAGTGAGTGACTCTTAAAAGAGCCTTTGGGAACATATAGACTCGGAAACGGTGTTAAATTCGACTCTATAGGTATTGCTTTAACACTACCAAATTTACTGTGTAACCCCCGAAGCCGTACAGAGTGCGGCCCTGCCTCTTGAGAGCGTAGACCACGTCCATGACGGTGACGGTCGTCCTCTCGGCGTGCTCTGTGTAGGTGACGGCGTCACGGATGACGTTCTCCAGGAAGACCTGGAGCACACCGCGGGTCTCCTCGTAGATGAGGCCGGAGATACACTTGACTCCCCCGCGGCGAGCCAGACGGCGGATGGCGGGCTTGGTGATTCCCTGGATGTTGTCACGGAGGACTTTCCGGTGGCGCTTGGCGCCTCCTTTACCGAGTCCTTTACCTCCCTTTCCTCTGCCGCTCATGTTGATCTACAAGAGTCTGAAGAGACGATGAGGGTCAGGAGGAGGAAACAGAGACTATATGGGAGACCTGCGGACCTGAGAGAGAACAGGGGCGGAGTCGAGCTCGCTCCTGGTTTTCTCCGCCGTTTCTTTAAATAGCTTTCCTTCGGCAATTCACGAATTCATTTTGAGAGGATGAAAATAAGTGATGCCCCTGATAAGTTTTTAATACAATCAAGAGGAAAGTAAAGAGAAATCTCGTGTTTCAGTTGAGAAACAATGAAATGAATTGAATGTCGGTATTTAGTGAAACTGAAGAGCTTTCAAAAGTAAAATGACAGAAGCCTCCATTGTCTTATTGATAGGACTGTTGCATAATCACGTGTTTATGTTGAGTGGATGTGAATCAACAGTAGATATTTATATTATATTCTTGTACATTATGGACTGAATGGCAAGAATGAGCATTTTATTCATCTGATTATCAGTTTGTGGAATAGCGTTTCATTCTTCCTTTTATTTTTTTGCAATGAAAACTTATCAAAAAATCAATAAAAAATCAATTATGAGTGATTAGTTCAGTTTAATATTTGATGAGAACCTACAGAAAAATGATCCGTTATACAGTTACCTGATTTCCTAAGTGTCTCAGAAACTTTTTATACAGTGAAATTCATGTCTGCATACAATTTAAGAGCATGAGTTTGCCTCAGACTACATACTGCTCATTAAAACATGATATAACTGTTAACTGTAGCGTTACATTAATTTGTATAATCCAAAAATTTGACTTTGGTAAAGAAGTGAAGTGGCTGAGATTGTAGTTCAGAACCAGAATCACTTTTTATTCCAACATTTCCACTGGTGAATGAAATGAAATGTGACTTTATGAACATGAAGTCAGTGGTGGTTTAGTGTAATTTGTCCCACTAAGCGTGTTGAGTGAGCTCAACACGTCATTGAAACTGGACGAAAAAGTTCCTGACCCCAAAGCTTCCTCTGCTATGTTTCTCTCTGTTGTTCCTCTGAACGTTTTATATTTTATAGTCGTCAAACAGAACATGTTGGCAGTTTCATAGCCACAATTATAAACCATTGGACGTTTAAAAATAGATATTATGATAAGTCACCGAAATGGTCAAACCACAAAATATCCACATTAAGACCATCAGATGCAATAATTACCCACCAATAAACAAAGAGCTGGAAGTTTTTTTTTCTCTCCCCTTTCATTTTATGATTTTATCTGAAATGACAAGTTACTAGGTATACTTTCTGGGTGAAAGTCTAAACTGGGTTTTGTTATTGAAATATACATCTTTTGTCAGGACAAGTTGATAAATAAAATTTAAGCCTCTATCATGGATAGGAGTTTATGGGAAGGCCAGACAACTGCCTGATTAAAATGTCCAAACTTCATGGTCGACCTTTTGAGTTTTTTTGTTTTTCTTTTTGCTGCAGCCACATGAAGTTTGTGAGCAGATATGACACCCAAGTTGGGACTCTTTCAGATTTTAAAGTGCAGTCATAGCTGCTTTAACTTGCACAAGAGTTTTTTTCTTTTTACATTTCTCCACCTACCTTTTAGTTTAGCTTAAAGTCATAAGGAACATGGCTCTGCAGACGCAGTGAGTGGCTCTTAAAAGAGCCTTTGGGTTGTTGCATTCACAGCATTAGCCGGTCTACTTGGAGCTGGTGTACTTGGTGACCGCCTTGGTGCCCTCAGACACGGCGTGCTTGGCCAGCTCGCCGGGCAGCAAGAGCCGAACGGCGGTCTGGATCTCCCTGGAGGTGATGGTGGAGCGCTTGTTGTAGTGAGCCAGACGGGAGGCCTCGGAGGCGATGCGCTCAAAAATGTCGTTGACGAAGGAGTTCATGATGCTCATGGCCTTGGAGGAGATCCCGGTGTCAGGGTGGACCTGCTTCAGCACCTTGTACACGTAGATAGCGTAGCTCTCCTTCCTGGTCCTTCTCTTCTTCTTGCCTCCCTTGCCGGCGGTTTTGGTGACCGCTTTCTTGGAGCCCTTCTTGGGCGCAGACTTGGCGGGTTCGGGCATGTTGTCTCTGAAAATTGACAGCGACGACTGACTGTCTGTGAGCGGTGAGGTCTCTGTTATACACCCAGCATGCAAATAGAGCTGCGCCATCCCTCGGCTGTGATTGGCTGTTTCGCTCAGTGGGTAAAACAACAAAGCGCCGACTTCAAAACGAGTCACGTGGGGTTTAGCGACAAAGAAAGAGGCGGGAGTTCATTTTACTTCATAGAGTCTGAATGTTTTCTGCTCGTTTCAACTCACTTCTATTCATTTAATGACCCCAATTCACAATTGAATGAACTGAACCAGACGGTTGTCACGCAGTAAATTCACATCAGTTTTGTATTGTTTTGTACTGTTTCTTATTATTCTACCCATCTAAAGAGGGGCCTTTTTGGAGGTTTTATCATATTCAAGAACTCACCAAACTTGGCGACAAGGGAGTTTCAAAATTTCGTATTTTAAGGTCGTTGTAGAAATCGCAAATGAAACGGCTCAACGGCGCCACCTAGCAATTTTTAAAAGCTCATTTGCTATTCCCTTACTTCATCTTAGAGACATGAAATTTGGTACGCTTGTAGAGCTCCCCAAGATGCTCAGAATTTACAATTAATGTCATAGTGCAAGTGTTACAGGATGTCGGCCATTTTAGATTGAAGTTCTGATTTTGACCCGATTTATCTCCTACACAGAAACTCACAGAGGCACCAAAGTTACTGTGATTGATCATCATCGGGTGTCTGACAATACCCAATGGTCGAATGATGACATCATTCGACCATGATGACATCACTTAGGCCACGCCCCTGATAACTTAGTGATAATGGTCAGATAATGGTTGCTATCTGACCCCTTTGACCTCATCAACATGAAGCTGTACCCAGAGACAGAAAACATGTTGGTGTGTTGAGGATTCCAACCCTGACCGGCTTCGATGGAGCATGTGGGCGTGGCGGCGTGGCAGACTTTGACTATTCGCTGTCAAATATCAAGATTCAGTTACTTCCATATGCAAGATTACAGCTGCATCACACATCCTGTGTCTCTCTACAGAACAATCCTGAACACATTTCCATGATGTCATCAAGTGACCCGCCCACTTTTAATCATCTGTTTTTTCTTTTGTATGTTTTACTGTTATTCTATCATTCATATGGGTTTCATCATGTGAAAACTGACTAAAAACGATAACATGATGAACTCTGTGAATGCTGGCTGCTGACCAAACCGCATTGGGGTGGAGAAATGGCGAGCTGCAGTCCTTCGCCATGTGCATACGATCGGCTCTAAATCACACATGGATCATCCGACTGGCGCCAAATTGGATATGTATGACCTTTGTTGACCTCTAAAGAACCCAACAGCATTGAAATGTATTTTGACTCCACTGCGCCCCCTACATTCATCCACCAGCTATATCTCCTCGCTAAATCCACCAATCTGCACCACATTTTTTGTGCGTCGTCAGGGAGTGCCGCAGAACGCATCGATACGTACCGCCTGGTGGACGGATGCAGAAACTGCACAACAGCTTCTGTGGTGGCTGGCGGGTGGCGGTTGCTAGTACCCTGCGGTGGCCAATAGGCCGGAGCGGCGCTTGGCTGCGAAGGACGCAATACTCGAAATACTCCAGGAAAAAAAAGCCAGTTTAACCCAGTCATACATATTCAACTTTTTTTTTTTAAAGTAATTTGTTTTATTTCAAACAGGTTTTTCAGAGGGAAAAAAAGAAGAAATCAGAAGAAAAAAAAACACCCAGAAACAAAATAGTCAGTATAGTTTCTTCGCACAGTAAATCAGGAGATCAGAGAACAAACGATTCACTTCATGTCACACGGATTTCAAAGCTTTATTTGTGAAACAAGCAAAAGCTGCGCTGGCATGTAAAAGGGGTTTTGTATTAAACACCCATATTAATCATGATGCAGGGGGGAAAAATAAAAATAATTTCACCTGAAGAACTTTCTTTGGGGTTTTTTTCTACAGGGTTGCTGGAGCAGGTTAAAGGGTTTGAGAGATAAAGAGGCATTCCTGAAGTATTTCTAATCACCTCTCAGTCGATCCAGACGGAGATATTAAAACGTCTGTGGAACCAAAAACCCACAGCAGGAGGAGAGCAGGTGCTTCTGCGCCGTTCATTGGTTTGAGCTTTTGACTCAAAATGAACAGGAAGGCACAATCTGCCCACTTTATCGCAAGCCACAGTCACAGACTCTCTTCTTCCCGTCGGGAACTTTTTAACTCTGCATTTTGTTCTCGCCACTTTCACCACAAACACCGGCAGCTTGAATTCACTGGTGCACAGGTTGCCCTCCTGGTTCCAGCCTTTGCCGTTGCAGATTTCTACGATAAGGTTTTTGTTTGAGCTCTCGATGAAGGTCTGAGTTGGTTCCTCGCAGCGATTCAAGAGGCTTATGTGTCTAGGGAAATAAATATATTGTTTTAAAAAAAAACATTCATGTTTTTCATTTAAAGAAAGTTTTTCTTCATGATGTCACAAGTCCTTCAGTTAAACTCACATTATGAATTAGAGTGTGTTTGATTTGAACTGAATCACATGCAAACCACAGTTCATAGTTGTGGCTTCGATATGACAGAGTTACGCTTTCATACCAGCAGCTGCTGACGTTTATTCTCACCTTTCACTCAAAGGTATTGACATCAGTAACTCACCTCTGCCAGGCAGGTTTTGACCTGGTGTCAAAGTTTTTTGGAAGGATGTGTCTTTTTTCAAAGGTAAAGAAAGCGTTTCGTTTTTTGGTCGGCTGACAGGGCAGTTTGTTTAAATCCTCGATTCCCAGGACGAACCGCAGAAGACGGCGACCAGCAGGATGACTTGCATTTTCTTGTCTGCAGAGGAAGAAACTCAAAGTAACTGAATGCCATTCAAAACGTTTGTCACTTCGCTTTGAAGCTGTGATTGGGACGTAAAAAAAAAAAGAAGTTCCTTGGTCATAATTTAAGAAGCTGTTTCATTAAAGATGTTTAATTATCAATCAGAAACAATCGACTTCAGATGCAAGTTATAACTCAGGAGATATTTATTTCAGTTCAGTGCATTTTTATTCTGGAGGTGTGGGAACTCACTGAGCAAAATGATCAAACGACGAAGGATTTTCAGATGGCTTATTATCTGACGGCTTCTTTTGAAAAGGCCCAGCAGGCCAGAGGCCACGTATTGGAGGGTGAAGGTAAAGTCTGGTCTGAGAAAATGTTGAGGCGGAAACCGCCGTCACCTCCAGACCAGTTAACGGGTGAGAGAGTTGCCTGGCTAAGCGGCGCTAAGAGGAACAGGAAGGTGGTGGTCTGCACTCTCTCACGTCTGGTTTTACAAACACGTTTTTCATGATTGCGACGCTTCAGTGGGACGAACTTTCACCACTTTGAAAGTGCATTTTGAATTACCTGTGCAATCAGTCAGAGCCACGTTTACTACCAATTCTCAGGGGGTTGGGTTTTCTGCACCTTTTAGGTGTGACCTATGAATGCTTCTCTTAAGTCTTTCTCTACACTAATGATTTTCTGTTTTTTGTTGGATCATTTAGCAGCATTGCTCACTGTTGCTGAATTTAGACATTGTCGGTGTGGATTCTGTTCCTCTGTCAGCAACTCAGAGCCGAGTGCTGGACAGTCACTGTTTATCAGCCATTGGTACATTTATTCTCTTTGTGAGCAGAACTAACAGTCAGCTGAGCTCTTTGTAAACACAAAGAATCTGAAATGTTGCTGTTTCACTTTATTGGAGTCAACGGACAGCATTAAATAACGTTGCGTCTCACTGAGATGAAGCTGCTGCTGCACTGATGAGCAACCAGTAGGGGGCAGTGTAGCAGTGCCTCTAACAACACCTTTAACATCTATGCATAAAAGGCTCATAAACTTATAAACTTTGCAAACTGATTCAGGTCTGAGGAAGATTCAAATTATCAGTAATTATTGATATTTCTCTCTTTTTTTTACATTATGCCTACATGTGTGAGGATGAACAACTAACTCAAAACATAACTACTCGTTATCAGCATATTGGTTACATTTTCTAACATTTATTGCAAAACTAGAAAAAAAAAAGGTTCATAGCAAAGCAGCTACTTTAGTCACTGAGACGTCTCAGAACTGCAGAGCCGTGTTGAAACATGATCTGCGATTGGACAAAATCAGGTTTCATATGAGCTTTATTGGGCCATATTCAAAGCAACAGTGATTTGTTTAACATGAAAACAATTAACTTGATCATATGTACGACTGAAACCAGATATTTCCACGTCTTCTGAATTTAAAGAAAGTAAAAAAATGTCTCCAAAACACAATTTCAACAGGTTTTCTGGTATTTAGCAAATAAAAACAAATTTAAATAACTCGAATGAACCTAAAACAAGAGACATTTGGTCTGACTTAGTTTCAGACTCATCTCAATGTAATGTGTCTTATATTCAGGAGACGTAAATTTCTGGTTTCAGTTGCACTTTTGAAAGCTTTACACTTTCACACAATGCTTGTATTGTATTCACACCGTATCCAAAAGAGAACAAAAACTACACTGACATGTGAAATGGTTATTGTAAAATGTCTACTCTTAAGAATGCGAAGCAAATAAAAACCTTTGGCGCTGGACT